GAAACCAGTTTCTTGTTCAAGAAACATGTTTCGTATTCAATAAATCGATTTCTTGAACAAGAAATCCATTTCTTGCAAGTTCTTGAACATTTTTTTCTTCGACCCAAGGAAATGTGTTCAATATTTGTTATCTCTTACCTTTTCTTTGGCATCACAATTCTTTCATTTTCAACCATTCTTTTATTTAAAAGCTGAATGTTATTTGGGCAGTTGAGTAAAATGCTAAACTGTATATGTTTAATCTATACATGCGTGCCTTCATTCAGCGGACCGAAGCCCTTTGTTGATCATAAGATCACATTCCCAGTGCAACACATGAAAAAAATTCAATGAATAGTTTAAATCCACTTCTAGGATCTTAACATTTTTTTAGCAACGAGGCTACATGATATGAATGGAACTTTGTCAAGATTGGAACCCCTGAAAATGTGGAAGTTTTAGCCCATATACGTGAACAACTGCAATAGACGCCAAAATATGACCTCCAACAAGTGATAACAAAATTTCAGTGTATTTTTAAACTGAATTAAACCAAATTTTAACTATATTTTTAGACAGAATTTGAGTCCGCCGTGCGTGCAGGGCGTGAGACAACTAGTATATATATCTCTCTTATCCTCCCTATATATAATTCCAGAATGCGTTGAGCCTACGTGGCTGCTTCTGGTGCTTCGGAATCCTATTTGGCGAAAAATCATGCTTCGTAATTAGGTTTGGACAAATAATAGTGTATATCAATAATTAATAATCTAGGTTCGGACATTCCATAAATATTATTTAGCTAACTTAGGTATTTAAATATCACTTTTACTAATATAACCCTTTAATTATTTAATATATCCACAACCAATTTCGAAGAAGCGCTCCGCCTCCATTCCCCGCAACCCTATTCCCCAAATCCGCTCCGCCTCCATTCTCGTCAAATTCGCCTCTCCCGACGACAGCAACTTCTCGGCCAGGGGTCGTCCTTGACCGCCTGGCCCCCCCCAAGGTAAGAGCGGCTTTGTTCACGCCTCAGTGGCTCCGCGGCAGAGGTCCTTTTGATTGGCGGTAGGGTGGCTTTGGTTGCCGGTGGCGGCCTCCGGGTTCGGCTTCTTGCAGGTGGTTCGGATCTCCATCTCAATTGCCGGTGGGAGCTGCTCATTGGAGGTATGTCCGGTCAATCTCAGCGCTTTTTCGTCGATTGGGTTGTGCCTTCCCGGCGGGCTCGCCTCCTCCGGCGGGGCTGGGATTCTGTTGTCGGATCTCTGAGGTTGTTCGGAGTGACGCTCGCACTGAGGGGGGGTCGGGGCTCAGGTCGCGGCGGCTTGGCGGTCGCGGTGGTCGGGGTTAAGGGTGCGACTTTCCCTTTCGCGATCCCGTCGGCCTAGTGGTGTTAGGCGGAGGGTGTCCTGGTTCTCTCGGGCTCGTCGAGTGCGGGTGGGACCGCTATGAGGGTTGGTCGTGGCTCTTTCGGTTGATGATGGGTCGATTCTGGGATCGATTCGGGTCTTGGTTTCTTCTACTGTATAGGCAGTAGGCAGTTTCGGTAGCGGATTCTCGGACTGGGATCTTTCTTGTGTCGATCGTCCACTGCTGGTTGGGTTTGTCTGTTCGTTGGGGGAGGGCTCCTTTCTCCTTTTAGTTGTTTTTCCAATTTATGTGTTTGTGTCGTTTGTGTTGGTCTTGTGTTTGTGATTGTGTTTTAGGTTTGGGCCGTTGGCCTCTGTGCGCCCGGGTGTCAAATTTATTACTCTGTTGGGGTCCGACATTCCGGTATTACCCTATTGGGGTCTTGTCTTGTTGTTTTAGTTGTTTGTGTCTTTGTTTTATTACCCTGTGGGGGTCTTGTCTAGTTGTTCAGTTTAGTTGCGAGTTTATTTTCTAGCGGTTGCTAGCCGGGTTTCTAGGCGGTCTTCTGACCTGTCCTCCCACTTTTCAGCCCTTGGCTGCTTGTATTCGCACGTTGTGCGCTTTTGATTTATAATAATATCTATCGTTCCGAAAAAAAAAAAACCCTTTAATTATTTGTAATTTTACATAGAGCATGATTGGATACAAAATTATCTCAAAAAAATCCAAACATTTTTAACTCAACTACTTTTTAACTCAACTTTAACTCAACCCCACAATCATCAATATTATCAATATAATTAAATAAAAACAAATCAATCATTCTTACACACCACATCACCTTAATTCACTATTCATCCACTCACATAATTTTAACTAACCATCACTTCAAATCTTCTCTCTCATACTTTATATCAAATCAACTTTAATCATTTAATTTTAAATATTATTTTAATATACCCACTAACAACTAACCATACCAACTGTTTCAAAACTAACCAAACCAAACAAAAAAATCCAAACAAAACAAAAAAAATTTATATCCAATCATCCTCTAAGTGACTAATATATCCATGACTTTGATTTGTTTCCTTCAATTAACTATTGAATTATAGATGTATTTTAAAAGTTGATAACTTTTGTACTTCTTTTCGGTTTTACATATATTATATATCAAATTAATCATCTTTTGATGATCTTCGATTTGACATCCATATTGTATATCTGAAATAAATAAATTATATTTATCTTTATAATAATAAAAAATAATAATATTTATTAAAATTTATTAGTAAAATAAAATTATATATCAATTGATATATTTATTTTTAATGTAGTTATATGTTGTAAGTTAAAAATTATTATAATATAACACAGGTAAGTCGCACAAATAAAAAAATTTTATGCTAATATATAATAATATATATATTTTTGTAAAAAATATTTAAATTTTCAACTACTTTTTCTCATTAATTTTAGACTTTAAGAAAAAAAATTAGCAAGCACCCGTGTAATACACGGGTGTTATACTAGTATCTTATATGGGAGAGTTAGAGAGTTTCAAACGCTGACATGTGTCCATTTGTATGGTCTTCATATTGTGACACGTGTCGAGAAGGTTTTTATAGTTGCACATGCCATGTTTTGAAGTCATTGAAATTCACGTGTCCAATTTTGACATTGTAAATGCCCCTCACTTTTAGCTGTATTTACGTGTAATGCCATGCCTCACCTATCTAAGAAAAATCTAAAATGTCCTGATTATGTAGATCCCCTTTCTTATCAATTTCTTTCTTTTTCTTCCCTGCACGTCTTCCTCTGAAAAAGCCCAAAATTAAGGGAACTACTCCTTTTCCATTTCCCATACCTATTTGACGGAAGAATTTTTTTTTTTCTCTCCAACCCTAAAATCGCCCAATATCTCATTTTCTTCTTCCCCTCTCACTCTCATTTTCTTCTTCCCCTTTGCATCCGTCTAAGCTGGAAAAGGCCCGAAACTCACCGATGGCGGAGTTTTCGCTGAATCAATTAAGGTGCATTTTTTTTTTTTGGAATTTATTTTGTAATTACTCGACTTGCTTTTGGTTTTTGACGATATGTACATTTTTATTACCTTCATCTTTTTGCTCGAATAGGGTTTTCCATTGTGGATGTCGGCCTCCGGCGACTAGGATCATGATGGAATTCCCAGCGAGCTCTTTACAGGTGAAGTTGTGTAAACCATCTGTGGTTGCTAGATCAACATGTTGAAATTGGGGAAATAGGTGATGGGTTTTGTACAAATGATTTACAGCTCATGCTTTGAACTAGTTTTGGTATTTGATTGATATCATGTGTGATATATATTTTTTGAATTCCAAAAATAATCTTTTGGTCAGATTAGACCAACCTGTTTTTGGCTTAATATACTCTTTGAATATGGCTGCGGCTCGACGATGTTACCCAGTTGTGTTCCTCATAATCCGCCATGGATGTTCAACTCCTCAACCTTCAATTTGCTCTCGCGTCTTGGGGTTGCTTCCCGTTTTCTTTTTTTTTTTCTTTTTTTTTTTAAGAAGCTAGACTTCCAATGTTTTATCTATGTACTTTTAGGATGAATGCGAGAGTTTTTGTGGAAATAGGGAAGTTAAACTGGGCCTTAATTTTGTAATTATTGTAAACTACAATAGGCAAACCGGATATAGAAAACCAAAGTTAAAAGACTATGAAGTAGAAAGCCAAATTTTATATAGTAACCTGCAGTTGCTTGGATAACTATCAACATATGCTTTTCTTTGCTTCGATGATGTAGCTTTTGGTTAGTTCTTCTTGGATATGGCAAGAGAGAATCTGAGGGAAAAACTATAATTTATTTTGATTCCGTTTAAGAGAATCGAGATTCTCGCGATTATAGTATTTCCCCTCGCTGCAAAATCCCCCGACGAACTCCTTCGACCCGCCTCAATTTTGACCCGTCGTCGATGTAGTCGAGTTCCGACAACCAACCGGAATACCAAATTTTGACCCGCCTCAGAGGGATATATAATCTTCCATGGCTCCTAAAACTGTGGAACTCGGTCGGCTTCAGCTTCAACTTCAACTTTGATCAGATCAAGGGCTCGCTCCCATCAAGGTGATTCAAGCTCTTTTTAAGATTTCAATATGCTAAGCTTTGGGCAAGTTAGAGCCGAGGGTGGAGCACTTAGAACCAATGTAAAACCCATTATTCATATCCTATGATGGGTTTCGTAATTAGGATTTGCATGAAGAGTGTTGAGATGTTTTGTAGAGAAGTTGATCACATGTTGCCTTTATTTTTTATTGCTTTGTTTTGTACTGCATGGGAACAGTTTTTTTTCTTTTCTTTTGTTTTCCCTTTGGCAGCTGGAAGTCGCTTTTGTTACTTACAAAAGCGTGTCTTGGTTTATCTTTTAGCTGGTACTCTTATTAGGTGACGTGTCCGATTGTAAGTGGTCATTATGGCTTCTTAGCTCGGTCCTTTATATTGTGCTTCTTCTTCATGTTTTGTAAGACGATTTGGTTACAGAAATTATCAGAAAAATTTGCCCCAAAATGCTTTGAGTTTTTCATCTTTTCATGGTATCAGAGCAGGCTAAACAATGGCGCGCCATGGAGAAACAACTACCGTTGCCAGATACACGCGCGATTCAGATCCACTACTATTGCAGAGCTCGGATAATCCAGGAATGGTGCTAGTAAGCTTTTCGCTCACCGGATCTAATTACCTTCATTGGAGCCGCGCGATAAGGTTAGCGCTCGGAGCTAAGTCGAAACTAGGTTTTACAGTTGCTGTTCCTGATTCAGATTCAGAAGATTATCAACAATATCAAAAAGTTGAATTCATGGTGATTTCATGGCTTTTAAATTCAATCTTGAAGGAAATCGTTCAAGCCTTTATGTATGTTAAGTCTGCGAAGCAGCTATGGGATGAGCTTGCTGAGAGATATGGAGAATGCAATGGTCCTCTCAGATATCAGCTTAGAAAAGAGATTTCGAACTTTGCACAAGGTAATCTCTCAGTCACAAGCTACTATACCAAACTGAAGTGCCTTTGGGACGAGTATGCGTGCATAGTAGCTTTACCTGAATGCAATTGTGGTACTGAAAAGGCTTACAGTGATCATGATTCAGAAACTAAACTCATGCAATTCCTCATGGGATTGAATGATGTATTTGAGCCGGTGAAGAACCAAATATTGCTCATGGAGCCCTTTAATTTTCTACCATAAATAGGGCATACTCTATGATTCTCAAGGTAGAGAAACAGAAAACTGTTAACAACCAAGGGCAAGAAGGATTAGATAGCTCAGTTATGTTGGCAAAAGGAGCATATGGAAGGGGAGGTGCTCATATGGGAAACTTTGGTAGAGGAAATTGTTATCATCCGGATCGGTAAACCTGCATCAAGAGATTCCAAATGACACATTCAAAAGCAGATAGTCATTAAACCAACGTAATTTCAAATACCACCCCGGTTCAGGCAACAAACCGGACCGAACTACCGAAGACCGAAGTGGTCAACACCTACCGAGATCAACATGAACTGAGGTCGTCACCTCCTTAAGCAGGTGACAAGGTGCCTACGAGTGACTCTCCTGCTCCACAAGATCTGTCATCATTTATGTGGGACCCCCTGCCTCAAACCGCCCACAAAAAGCCACTTTATTCGAAAAAGCAATGCACGGATCCCCATGTATCAATCCAAGATTATTATAAATAGCGGACCCATGACATTTGTACGGGGATCTCTCTCTCTCTAAAACTGAAAAAACTTGATTAAGCAACACGTAAAAGCCCATCACGGCTCTTCACCTCGGTTCACCTCGGACCGGGGCCATTGTTGAGTAAATCTTACATGTTTTACGTCCAAATCATTCAAAATTATCCACTTAAATCACCAATTATATCGTTGTTAGGAATCACATAACAACAGAAATGTAAGCATGGGAAACTTTGGAAGAGGAAATGCTTGCATGGGAAACTTTGGGAGAGGTGTTTTTGGTCAAAATAATAACAATGGAGGTAGAGGAAGAGGTCAACTCAGACTCTCTAAGGAGAAGAGGGCAAAATTATACTGTGAACAATGTGGATACAATGGACATGAGATTCAAGGATGTTTTAAATTGAATGGCTATCCTGAGTGGTATAAGGAGTTCAAAAATCAAAAATCTGGGCAGCTTGCAAACATGGTGGAAGAACAGAATGTAAATGCAAAATCAGCTGAAACTGAGAGTGAGAAACAGCATTCTGCTGGACCTTTTGGTGATATTAGCTCATTGTTACAGAAGGAGATTGCAAAGTATATGGCCAATCAACAAACACCAGACTCATCTTCTTATTCTTATCATTCAGACTTCTCAGGTAACATCAACCACTTTGGTTTCTCTCTGATGGATAACATAGAGGAAAATAGTTGGATTGTGGATAGTGGAGCCAGTAGGCATATTTGTTGCAACTCTGAGCTGGTTGAAAATTTCAGTACAGTCAGCATGCCTATAACAGTGAATTTGCCTAATGGAGCTAAAATTAAGGTGACAAAAGCAGGTGATGCTAAACTAAATGATAAGCTCATCTTAAGAAATGTGTTGATAATACCTGAATTTAGATACAATCTACTGTCCATTGGACAACTTACAGAAGAGAAAGGTATGACATGTACCTTTAATAAGGACAAATGTCAGTTGAGGGATTCTGAAAGCAAAGAGCTATTAGCAGAAGGAACAGCTCATGGAGGGTTGTATATTATAAGAGGGAAAAGGTGTTTAATCAATCAAATTAAGGACAACTCTGAGAATCAAGAGCTAGAACTTTGGCACAAGAGGTTGGGACATAGTTCCATATCATGTATGAAACACATTGGTTTTCTGAAGGGATTTTGCAAAGAGCAGAAGATCAAACCTTGTGACATATGCCATAGGGCAAAACAAAGCAGGTTGCCTTTCCAACTCAGCACAACCAAGGCTGGGAGTGTGTTTGATTTGCTGCATATTGACATATGGGGTCCTTGCCATGATGATTCTATCTCAAATGTATCATACATGCTGACTATAGTGGATGACATGACAAAACACACTTGGATATTTCTCATGAAGTATAAGTCTGAAACTTATCTGAAGCTGAAGTATTTTGTTAAATATGTCAAGGTGCAGTTTGAGAGATGTATAAAGAAGATAAGGACAGACAATGGCTCAGAATTCTTAGGACATGAGGTACAAGGTTTGTTCAAGGAAAAAGGGAATTCTACACCAGAGAACTTGTCCATACACTCCACAGCAAAATGGAGTGGTGGAAAGAAAGCACAGAACCATCTTGGAAATTGCTAGATCCTTGTTATTTCAGTCAAACCTAGAAAAGAAGTTTTGGCCCTACACTTATTTATCTGCAGTACACATCCTGAATTCTTTACCCAGTGAGAGATTGGGGTGGAAAACACCTCATGAATTACTCTATGAGACACCACAAGATTACAGCAGGTTCAAGATTTTTGGATGCTTGGTTTATGCTTACAAACATGATCCTAAAAGAAAGAAATTTGATGATAGAGCTTTGGCCTGTATAAATCTTGGGAATGTTCTAGGTGTTAAAGGGTACAAACTATATGACTTGAATGATGGAGATGTTTTTGTTTCAAGGGATGTGGTATTTCATGAACACATCTTTCCTTTTAAGAAGGGACTTCAACCATACCCTCAAGAGCTCACACTGCCCAATGTCATTGAAGAACATGAGATGGATGACAACCATGATAGAGGAACTGAGGTCTTACCTGACATAGATGTTGACAAGTCAGCTACTAAGGGTGATGAAACTGAATCTGAAGCAATTGAGGGTAAAAGATCAAGAAAGCCACCTGTGTGGCTGCAGGATTATGTCACTCACATTAAGCATGATGGCATAATGCAGAAAGAACACAACTTGTTTATGACAGAGGTAAACAAAACAGCCACTGAACCTTCCTTTTATGGACAAGCTGTGAGAGATCCTAAGTGGATACTTGCTATGCAGAAGGAATTAGATGCCTTGGAGGCAAATCATACCTGGAAACTCACACATCTTCCTGCTGGAAAGAAAGCCATAGGCTCTAAGTGGGTCTATAAGATAAAGAGGAATCCAAATGGCACTATTGACAAATATAAAACAAGATTGGTGGCAAAGGGTTACTTGCAAGTTGAAGGGGTGGATTTCAGAGAAAGTTTTTCACCAGTTGCAAAGCTGGTAACTGTAAGATTGCTCATTGCCTTGTCAGTTCAGAATGGATGGGTGCTACACCACATAGACATTAACAATGCCTTTCTACATGGCTTCCTTGATGAAGAAGTCTATATGTTGCCACCTCAGGGTTATCTTAAGGCCAAAGCAGGAGAGGTATGTTTGCTTCAAAGGAGCTTATATGGGCTAAAACAAGCCTCTAGACAATGGAATTTGGAGTTTTCTAATAAGTTGATAGCATATGGTTTCAAGCAGTCTATCTCAGATCATTGTCTCTTTATCAAGAATGATGACCATGGATTTCTGGCTTTAATCATCTATGTTGATGATGTGCTCATCACAGGGACTTCTCTTACTACAATTCAGACCTTAAAATCTTACTTGGACAGGTTATTCACTATTAAGGACCTGGGAGTTGCTAAATATTTCCTTGGTTTGGAAATTCTTCCTACTGCTTTAGGTGTTCATCTCAGTCAAAGGAAGTATATAGTGGATTTGGTCAAG